ACCCCCCCCCCCCCCCCCCGCAATGATTATAAAAAAATATTATTCTTTCTTGCGTGATCCTAAATCTATATGATTAAAAATTTTAATTTTAAAATATTAAGATTCAATTATTATTCTTCTCCCCCACGTTGATTTTAGAAAACATTAAAAAGTTAGTGTTCCAATGATTTTGTCGGATAGTATTTCCGTCAAAATATAAAATATTCTATGAAATTACAAATAGTTAAAAATTGGAAATTGTATTTTCTTTGATGTGGTTGTAACCTGTAACTTAGTTTCGAACTTATTGGCTATTGCACCTTGGATTTTCTGCACAATTTTTCTTACTTTTTTTATTTTCTTAGATCTTCATCGTCACAAATCTTCTAACGCTCCCCTCCACACCTTGATCTTCTTGTCACAATCTTCTTTGCATAAATATGTATCGTCACATAAAATATCATCCTATGAAGTTTCCATGTACGATTGCGTAAATGAAAACGTAGGAAGTAAGTCTTCTCTCATTCAAAATTTTTTAATTTTATGTATGTACATTTTGAATTATAACACAATATAAGTATGTACTGAGTAAATCGTACTCCCTCCGTCCCATTTTAAATTGCTTGTTTGCCTTTTTTCTCCGTCCTAAAATAATTTGCATGTTACTTGTTATCGTAAACTTTTATGAGTAAAATACCTAAACTACCCCTAAAATAAGTCACTCTTCTCCACTTTATCTTCTCATTCATCGTCACCCCTCCTAAAAGGTAATGACAATTTCGAAAAATCAATTCTATTTTTTATTTTCCTTAAATATGCCCAAAAGTCAAAACAAGCGATTTAAAACGGGACGGAGGGAGTAAGTTACAAATTACAATATAAAGTTATTTTGATTAAAATAGTAAATTAAGTTACCAAGATAGAGTATAAAAGTCCTTATTACATCTTTTTTCTAATTTGTTTATTTTAAATATTCAATATTTTAAAAATAGTCAAATTGTATGGAAACATTTTTATTTCATTTCATAATTAGTCATCTTACCATAAACAAAAGTTCTAGGTAAGATGTGCATTTACTCAATCTCATAGTATACGTCTTATCCATTTGTCTAAAAGTAAAGTACATAATCATGACATGTATAATTCTCTTAGAAAATACAATCTTAAGCCTTTTAGTCACCTAATTATAATTCTTTGAGTAATCTCAAAATAGTCTTTTCAAATAAGGTATTTTCCTAAATCAATGTTATTAAGCATTAATTATCTATGTAGTACTTTATAGATGAGATTTATCTACTCAGTGTCCTCCATATAAAATGTTTGTTAAATGGATCTTTGGTGGAGGAAATTTAGGTATTTTCATCATTTAAATGTAGAGTAATTTTTCAAAATGACCCTTTTGGATTAACCTTTTTCCAACTTAGGTGTCCGTGATAATAGTTATAATTTTATCCCAATTGTGCATTTAGAGGCACCCCAATGTTTTGTGTCCCTCTATTAGTGACTCATGTTCACGCTGGTAGATTTCGAATGAGGATGACCTCGCCTCCGATCCCTCATTTCATATCTATGTAGAATTTTGATAAAATTCACGTATGAAAAATACGTGATTCGTTTTTTTAAATATTATTTTGTTGTATATATCACATTCGAATATTTTTTGTGCTTTTTAAAAAAGTAGTAATCGTAACTTCAATTAAGTCAAAAGTGAAATACCTATGATTATTTTAAATATTTTTGTAATTTTTCTTTGTGAAAACCCTTGCAACTATATTTGTTTTTGCTGTTTAAAAATAAATTCATATTATGTGGAAAAAATTTTGGATGTAAAATACATGTGATTATTTTTACGTGATAATTTTTAAAATTTTATGTAAAAAATGTAACTATATTTCTTTTCTTACTTTTTTTGAAAATAGATTCACTTGACACTTCAAGCAAAACACAACTGTAAAATAAATGTGATTTTTTTTAATTTTTTCAAATATAAGTTTTGTGAAATATATCAAATGCGAATATAATTGTTTTTAATTTTTTGAAAATAAATTTATTTGATTTTTAGGAATTGTTTTTTATCGATATATTTTTTATGAAACTATTTGAAATTTTACGAATTGAAATATAAAGATTTTTAAAAGTTTTTTACTAATATATTTTAAGAAATTTCATGAGTTAAACGTTTTATTCAAAAAATGAACTGGGGGATTAACAAATGGAGTTACTAATTGTTACGATAAACCCTATGAAACCCACGAAAAAATCTAATTCGTATTAATTTTGTCACTATGAATTCTTTCTTCATCTTGAGTTTTTTTGTATGACACGAAAAACATTTTGTTAGTCACAAATATGAATTTGAAATTTTAAGAAAAAGAGTATTATTTTGATTATAAATAAGTTAGAAAAATAAATTTTAAATTTCACTGATTATTTTAGAAGCCGGTTTTAAAATTTTAAACTATTATTTTAATTATTTTAGTAGCTGATTTTATAAATTTTTTAATAAAAAAATGAATTTTAGTTCCTACTCAATTAGAAACAATTTCATGTCGGTTCTAATTTTTTCCATAATACCCCCTCTGTGTTTGGATTTAAGATTCTCAATTGACTTTTTCTGGTTAATTTTGTATACTTTAACCTCGATATATAGAACAAACATTATCTTTCGATAGAAATGTATTACCAATAACTTCTTTTTGAAACTAAGGAATCTCTTTATATATATATATATATATATATATATATATATATATATATATATATATATATATATATATATATATATATATATATATATATATATATATATATATATATATATATATATATATATATATAAA